AAAAAAGAAAAAAAAATATATATATATATATATAATAAATATTTTAAAATTTCCCTCAGTCTTAACTTCTAATTTAATAAATAGCTATAGTCCATATAAATAAAAGTTCCTTGGAGTCCCTTAGAGTGAAAAGGGATCCTAAAACAAAGAAGTTTAAGAATGGCTATTATACCAGGTTTCCAAAATCATGCTGAAGAATTTTTTTTTCACTCTCAGGCTCATCACTAAAGAGTTCTGAACAGGGACGTGTCATGATCAGAGTCAGGCTTTAGTGAAGACTTGCCTGGCAATTTATGGGTGAATAGACAATGAAGAAGGAATGAAGATAAAACAGCCAGAAGGCTATAAAAGTGCAATTGAGATTCGGGGAGATAATGGACTAAATATGAGAAGGAGGCAAAACGGTGTAGCAGTGGAAATTTTTTTTTCTTTGATTTTTTTTTATTTTAAAGACAAACAGCAGATGTAACCATTATAATGTGCATAAATAGTCATAAAATTGTCTTTAACAGTCTTCCATACCAGTGTACTCTGCAAATAAAATGAATTTTACTTTAAAAAGTAAAGGTTGTCTATTATTTGGCTTTTGGTTCCAATGCTGGAAAGCCCAAAATAACAAAACTCATCTGCCTTCCTCCCACCTCCCAAAAAGAACCCTGCCTTGGTAGACTTTGGCAACCACTGAGCACATGACACTATGTATCAGTTTCTTCTGATACTAGGAGCATCCACTTGTCATGAGTAAATAAAAGTGGTCTCCAAGAAACCTTCCTTCACAAGACATGTGTCTTAGCATTTCATCAGTTTTAGTACATTTTAGATTGACACAAAAAGTGCTTATCAGTTCAAATGATAAAAAATAAAAATTAAAATTTTGCATTAAAATTTAAAATTATACCATATCCCTTTTAGGCATGTGCCTTTCCAGGAATTCTCGTTTCTGAGGTCACTCATTTAATTCCCAGGGACTAAGTGACCCTACTTTTACTGCGGCCACAAGCTGTTTGGCATCTATTGGTCACTATACCACGACTCTCATTCTACAGTCAGTTAACTCTCATTACCTAGACAACCTGGTAACTGGAAGCCACAATATGTTTGTTTTTTTAAAAAAACGGAATTAAAAAAGGAAAAAAAAAGTATATTTGAACAATAAAACTGGCACAAGAAATGTTTCTGTTGATACTCAAAGGCAAGTTGATACTCAGCTTTCTCCTTAACAGTGTTCAGACCTTTACGAAAGCAATTCAAGATAGTCTTTAAGAGTCTTGTACACAACATAGGATATTAAGTTATCCCCAGTACTACATTAGTGGTCAGTCAAATCTGGTATGTAAAAGTAATTACATTAGGGAAGTTATGCTTAGGCACAGTACAACAAACATTCATATAAAAAAAGTAAATTCCACATGGTGAACTGTGGTTTTTTCCCTTGGTTTGACAACAATATTTTATACATTAAATTCATGGTAGTGTTTGTATTTAAATGCTGTCATATATAAAATTAAAAGTGCCATTTCAACTCCACAGCAATCATTTCCAGCATGGTGTATGACATGACAATGTGCATGAATTTGCCCTAAGTGGGGAGAACCTGAAACTCTTATTTCCGTAAGAAAAAAAATGCTACATTTTATGAAAGAACACAACAACAGAAATGTATCATTTCCATTTTCAGTATAAAACAATCATACCTATCTGTCCATCTGATAGCACTGATCAGACCAGGAAGCTAGGATATACCCCTTGGCATTAGTGGAACTCCGTGAAGCTTTCCACAGATCATAAGGCAGGGAGTGGTATAAGCCAATTAACCAGAGTGCAATTACATTAAAAACCTCCCGAAAACTTTCTGTGGCACATTGCATTATGGTAAAATGAGAGGTTGATCGCCCATTTCTATTAGTAGGCCAGCCTGTGGTAATAAAAATGAAAAATTTAATTTAAAAAGCAAAGCAGGAGCTATTTTGAAAACAAAATTCAAAGTAAACTAATTCTGTAACTGCTGACTTTGAAGACATCCCACAGTGACTGTCTGCCCCACAACACATATATGCGGTGCCAGCATCTCTCACGAGGACATAGCTAGGCCAAGCACATGGGTCCTGCACAGCTGCCATCGTTCCCACCCCTGGGTCAGCCCCACCTCACTCAGGCACTCCCACAATTAATACATCTTTCAAAAGTTAAAGATGCATTCGGAATAAGCCTAATTCCAGTTTTGCTTAGTGTTTTGTTTGGAAATGCTTCTAACAATGATTCTTCGATTTCTGCTGAACACACAGTATTCACTAACACTGCTTATCTCTTCCTTCCTCCACCTCCCCCAACATTCAACTTCCCCACCATCACTTCTCTCATTACACCTTCTGGTCTTTCTTTCCTGGATTTGCTGCTACTTAATCTGCTTCCCAAGAACAAGTGAATTTGTTAACATGAAACTGGTCAGAGTAACCATCATCTTACCAATGATTTCTTGGTCTCCTTTGCTCCACCCTGATAGAAAGTGGGCCCTCTTTCTTTCACTCTAACTTCCCTTCCACAAGAAGCCCAGATGTACTTGCTTCCCACAAAAGTGCCACATGCCTGAGAGTCCAAGAGTTATCCTTAACAAAGGGGTCTGACATGTCACCTTCCTAAATGTGCATTTCACACTTGGACAAGCCAATGAAGTGTTTTTGTTGTTTTTTTTTTAAAGTTCATCTCCCCTGCCCCAAAAAACTGATAGCATGTGCCGTATCAGAAAAACCCTGGTCTTAGCAGATCAATATACATAGTTATTTGGTCATTCGACATATGCACTTTTTAAGGAGGTTCAGGCTTCATTTTCTGTTGAGTTTGTTACCACAGAGTCTGGCTTTCGAGTCATTCCATCCAGTTCTTCCTGAGCATTTGACAAAACAGTCTTTTGTCATGACTTCTTAGCTGTGCTCTGCACCCCACCAGCACCAGGACTTCCAGGAGAGCCTGTCTTTTTACTCAAGAGACTGTTGAAGAAGTTGACCAACACCCTTTCATTTGCTGCATTATTTTTGATGTTTGGGTCTGGCTTCTTAACTGATGTGCCTGGGGAGGAGCTAGGCACACTGGCTGGCCCTCCCCGACCCTGGGTCCTTGGAGAGCCAGAGGGTCCTCTTGCAGGAGATTCGGAGGCTCTCGTGGGTGTGGCTGGCTCCTTGGCAAGGAGTGACTGTTGCTTTATTAGGAACACCTGCTCATCTTCTGCTGCCAAGTCTTTGTCGTGGACCAGCTTTCTGATGGGAGGTTTCACAATAAAGTCTTCGTATGCATCTTCTGGCTTCACGGTTGTAAAATTTTCATGTAAAATAGCTATTTTCTTTTCATTGTCCCAGCCTGCAGGTATAAAAACAGCATCCTTTTCCACAACTAAGGCAGGTGTGGTGAAGTGGAAATCGTACGTTTTATGAACAATATACTTATACAACAAGTCAAGGTTTTTCTCTTCTTTCACTGATGTGTGAATCAAGGCAGCTCCATACTGAAGGCAGGACCTCCGCAGGTGTGACTGGATAAAGTCCAAATGCTCATCCCTGTAGTCGTGCTCCTTCTCCAGGACACTCACCACATCACACTTTGTGCACACAACCAACGCTGGGATCCCTAGGTTGTGAGTCAGCACATTGTCACCCAGAGGCAGGGCAACATTTTCCTCATCAGAGCCTGAGGTCAGAGGGCCTCTTCTCTGTGGGGAACCTTGACAACCTTCTTCGGGTTCCACATAGTCTTGAAAATCTTTCACAAACTTCCGTTCCAGCTCCCTCATTTTTTCTGGTGGAATTTTCATTTTATCAATGTGCTCACGTAAAACGCTAGCCCATTTCTGCAGAGATCCCATCACAGTCCAAGGTCTAGACATGTCTGCAACAAAAATGACGAGGGTCTCTGGCAAGGATTCAGCAGAAACTGCAAATTTCAGCAGGCCTTTGTGGCACAAGTCTCCATCCAGAATCCACACATTGCAGCGTGTGTGATCATCTCGGTCCTCATAGTGCACGCTGAGGTAGAGATATTCTAGGCCTCTTCCTTTTTTGCCATGCTCAGCTCCTTGTAGTTTAGTCATGAGGGTTGTTTTACCAGAACCATCTTCACCGAAGACCAGGATGTTCTTGCCGGGCGGCAGCTTAGACCTGGCGCGGGTGGACACTTCGCTCAGGATGGAGGACCATAGGCTCTGGCCCTCCTCCTCCTCACTGGTCAGGCCCGTTGGGGCCCAGCAACAGCTTCTTTTCCACCCTTACCGGCACCATCTTGCCAACTGCCGTAGCAGTGGAACTTACGGGAGAAACAGTGATGAGATTCAAGGGTCACTGGAGAGAAAAATGACCGATACCTTACCTAGATGACCAAAACAGCGGCAGTACCATTAACAAAAATAAAAAAGTCAAGAGGATGAGTTTTAAGTTTTGAACTGTTAATGTTGAAGTAAAATTGTGAATACAACGTGCAGAGAGTTGGAAGTGTGGAACTAGAGTTTAAGAAAGGTTAGTTCATGTTGGAAAGATGGAGTTAAATGGTATTTGAGGTTTGGGGAGCTGAAAAATTCCCCAGGGAGATGGAGGGACTGGGCTGGAGACAGCGGGGCGGGGGAAGAGACTCCATAGGGCCAATAGGGGAGGTGTCAGTCCTAAAGGTAGAGTTAGCACTAGGATTTTGCAATGCCTCTGAAGCCAGGAGGAGTGCTTCTAGAAGGAGAAAGAAGAGTTAATGGTACCCAGAAGCCCATAGAGGTAGGAGCTAAAATAATTTCTGTGATGTCTCAGGAATCTTCAAATATAATTTTATTGGAGTGGTGGATATGAGTCAGAGTTCAGAGGGCTAAGGAATGAGTGTGGGTTGGGAAACTCCAAAAACAAGTTTGCCCATAAGAAAATAAAGTGAGAGAAAATGGTAGCCAACCCAGAGAATGGATAAACTCTGAGGATGAAAACATGCAGAAAAAGAAAAAAAAAATCTGAGAAAAACTTACTGGTTGAAGTCAAAAAGAAGGAGCCTGAAAAGTGGGCCAGGATTGGTTAGTGCCCACGAAAATGAGATTGGCTAGAATGTGAGGGAAAAAAGCAGCTAACAGTGTCCATGAAAAGCTTATATGCCTAGAAAACTCCTGGATATTTTATAGTAGTAAACTTTTGCAAGTGGTTTCCTCTGAAAAGTAGGACTCATGGAGATTTCCTTTTTGTATTTATTCTTCTGTATAATTTGAGTTTGAAATCTTTAAGATCATGAACCCATGTTTATTTTATAATTTAAAATATATAAATTTTTAACAATCTGTGTCAAGTTCAAAATTTTAAACAACTTGACCTTCATGAATTGGAAGGAAAAATTGAAGAAGGTATCTCTTACTATATATGTATACACTTTAGAATTTCTTGATGTGCATAAACTTCTTTTATAATTTAAAAAATGTAAGAGAAAAATAAATAGTTGGTACTACATTCTATACATTCATCAGGAGGAAAAATAAATAGTTGGTACTACATTCTATAACATTCACCTTTTTTTTTTTTGAGACAGAGTTTCACTCTTGTTGCCCAGGTTGGAGTACAATGGTACGATCTCAGCTTGCTCCAACCTCTGCCTCCCGGATTCAAGCAATTGTCCTGCCTCGGCCTCCCCAGTAGCCGAGATTACAGGCACATGCTGCCGTGCCCGGCTAATTTTGTATTTTTAATAGAAATGGGGTTTCACCATGTTGGTCAGGCTGGTCTTAAACTCCTGACCTCAGGTGATCTGCCTGCCTCGGCCTCCCAAAGTGCTGGGATATAGTCATGAGCCACCACACCCAGCCAACATTCACCTTTTGGTGCTAGGCAGGAGGATATAAAGTCCCTGCTCTCGGAGAGTAAAGAGACAGGACATGATGCAAAATGGCTTCTAAATCCCAGCCCAGGATACAGAGTAAAAGCATTGTGGGACAAATTAAAAGAATTAACTCTAAAGCTACATCTAAAGACTTTAAGGTGCCTGGCATATGGTAGGCACTCAATAAATATTAGTTATTATGATTTGTCACTTTATATTTATATTTAGTACATTATAAAATATAAATGTAGTAGCCTTAGGCCTCTAATAATTCAATTAATATTTACAGAACACAATGCCTGCACATGTGTCAGAGATTAGAAAATGAATGAGATATTATTCTTTCCTTAAAAGCTAATTGGCAGGCTGGGCGAGGTGGCTCACGCCTGTACTCCCAGCACTTTGGGAGGCCAAGGCAGGCAGATCACCTGAGGTCAGGAGTTCGAGACCAGCCTGGCCAACATGGTGAAACCCCATCTCTACCAAAAATACAAAAATTAGCTGGGTGGGGTGGCGGGTGCCTATAGTCCCAGCTACTCGGGAGGCTGAGGCAGGAGAATTGTTTGAACCCGGGAGGCAGAGGTTGCAGTGAGCTGAGATCATGCCACTGCACCCAATTCTGGGTGACAGAGCAAGACTCTGTCTCAAAACAAAACAAAACAAAACAAAAGCTAATTGGCAAATAAAATATAAAAAAATATATAATAATGCAGGTCAGTGTATGCCATATTCCAAATATGTGGTCCAGACACAAGTGGTTCTGCAACTGAAGATTAGAGAAATCGCAGAGAACAGGAGCAATTAGGAAAAGCATTGCAGAGATAAGACATGAATGGACCTTGGAGAATAGGTCAATAGAGAAAAGAGCATCCTAGGGGAAAAAATATGACGAGCAGAGACTAGAAACAAAAAAGATGTGTGGTCTAAGTATAATTTGTTATGCTGGACGGGATCCTGAAACAGCAAAAGGACGGTAGTATGAAAACTGGTGTTGAGTCAAAAGTAATATACTAGGTACGTTTGTCAGTTTGCTCCTTTTTGCCTGTGGACGCCGCCAAAGAAGCATTGTTAAAGTCTCTCTTCTCCCTGCGATCATGTCTAAGTCAGAGTCTCCTAAAGAGCCGGAACAGCTGAGGAAGCTCTTCATTGGAGGGTTGAGCTTTGAAACAACCGATGAGAGCCTGAGGAGCCATTTTGAGCAATGGAGAACGCTCACAGACTGTGTGGTAATGAGAGATGCAAACACCAAGAGCTCCAGGGGCTTTGGGTTCATCACGTATGCAACTGTGGAGGAAGTGGATGCAGCCATGAATGCAAGGCCACACAAAGTGGATGGAAGAGTTGTGGAACCAAAGAGAGCTGTCTCAAGAGAAGATTCTCAAAGGCCAGGGGCCCACTTAACTGTGAAAAAAATATTCCTTGGTGGCATTAAAGAAGACACCGAAGAACATCACCTAAGAGATTATTTTGAACAGTATGGAAAAATTGAAGTGATTGAAATCATGACTGACAGAGGCAGTGGCAAGAAAAGGGACTTTGCCTTTGTAACCTTTGATGACCATGACTCCGTGGATAAGATTGTCATTCAGAAATACCATACTGTGAATGGCCACAACTGTGAAGTTAGGAAAACCCTGTCAAAGCAAGAGATGGCTAGTGCTTCATCCAGCCAAAGAGATCGAAGTGGTTCTGGAAACTTTGGTGGTGGTGTTGAGGTGGTTTTGGTAGGAATGACAACTTTGGTCGCGGAGGAAACTTCAGTGGTCATGGTGGCTTTGGTGGCAGCTGTGGTGGTGGTGGATATGGTGGCAGTGGGGATGGCTATAATGGATTTGGTAATGATGGAAGCAATTTTGGAGGTGGTGGAAGCTACAATGATTTTGGCAGTTACAACAATCAGTCTTCAAATTTTGGACCAATGAAGGGAGGAAACTTTGGAGGCAGAAGCTCTGGCCCCTATGGTGGTGGCAGCCAATACTTCACCAAACCATGAAACCAAGGTGGCTATGGCGGTTCCAGTAGCAGCAGTAGCTATGGCAGTGGCAGAAGATTTTAATTAGGAAACAAAGCTTAGCAGGAGAGGAGAGCCAGAGAAGTGACAGGGAAGCTACAGGTTACAACAGATTTGTGAACTCAGCCAAGCACAGTGGTGGCAGGGCCTAGCTGCTACAAAGAAGACATGATTTAGACAAATACTCATGTGTATGGGCAAAAAACTC